TGAGCCGCAAGCCAGAGCCGAACTTGACAGAAGGGCTGGCGTGACCCCGGTTACGGCCAGGCGTTTTTCAGCCTTGTGTTGCTGAGGAGGAAACTTCCCCCGGGAACTCCCATTTGCAAAGTCGTGTGTTCAATCAAAGAACACACCGAGAAAAAGGCACCGGTGGCGAAAAGCAGGGTGCTGACGTGACCCGAGGGGGGAAGCTGGACCCCTTACAGCGCGTCTGGCATGAATAAAATGGGAAAAGCTTGGTTAATAGCAAAGACGCAACAGTCAGAGTTTGGTTTCCATTTATTAATGCTGCCAATTAAAGCCTACATGTCTGTTTAATAGGCTTTGGATGCAGATTTTAAAGGAAAGCGACAGCTCACAAATTGTAATAAAAAAAGAACTAAATGTCTGATTATTTTTCCATTTAGGCCATGTGGACTCTACATGTGCTACATAGATATTACTATTTAATCTGCCCCCACCACCCTGGTCTTCAGGATTCTCAGTTTTATTTCTCATTTCCTCCTGTGTTTGAGCAATTCAAGTTTACGCATGTCTCAAGGTTTAAACTCCTGTTGTAAGGCAACTGCAATGTGAGTGCTATTCATCGAATATGGTGTTCTTACAGGAGACAACAACAAAACCAACAACCGTGAGCAGAATCTCACACGTACAGGCAAGAGAAAATTAGGGATTTAAAAATTATAATGCAGTTCCCAGTATAATATTGTCATGGTTTAACCCCAGCCGGTAGCTAAGCCCCAGGCAGCCACTTGCTCACTCCTCCCCAGTGAGATGGGGGAGAGAACTGGAAGAGTAAAAGTAAGAAAACTCATGGGTTGAGATAAAGGCAGTTTAATAGGGAAAGGAAAAGCCACACATGCAAGCGAAGCAGAGCAAGGGATTCATTCCCTGCTTCCCATGGGCAGGCAGGTGCTCAGCCATCCCCAGGAAAGCAGGGCTCCATCACGCAGAACGGTGACTTGGGAAGACAAACACCATCACTCCCAATGTCCCCCTGTTTCATTCTTCTTCCCCCAGCTTTATGGGCTGAGCATGACATCGTATGGTGCAGGACATCCATTTGGTCAGCTGGGGTCAGCTGTCCTGGCTGTGCCCCCTCCCAGCTTCTTGTGCCCCCCCAGCCTCCTCGCTGGTGGGGTAGGGGGAGGAGCAGAAAAGGCCTTGGCTCTGTGTCAGCGCTGCTCAGCAGTGACGAAAACATCCCTGGGTTACCAACCCTGTTTCCAGCACAAATCCAAAACACAGCCCCACACTAGGTGCTGTGAGGAAAATTAACTCTATCCCAGCCAAAGCCAGCATAAATATATTAGCAATACTTTCATAAATACATATCTTTTCAATATTTCACCATCAGTAATAAAATAGATTTCTAATCTGTCATTTTTAAGAATGTAAATATCATACTAGCACTCCACTAGTTTTAAAAAAAGTATGTACCGTGACTGAAAAGTTACTTTTTTCCCTCCTTCTCTAGTAGCTGCGCTGTCTCCCTTGAGATGTGGATATTCTACTGAAGTACAATTCTGAGATACTGTAATTATTTTTAACATCAAACAGTATTAATCAGCACAGACTGTATTAGCGTTTGCACGTGAGGCACAATAAATCCAGGTTCACATATTGACTATTCATAAATACAGTATTTCTCACAGATATATTGCAAAGCTACAGGACAGAAACAGCAGTTTACGTTCTTCTTTCAAAAATGTTCTTTTCAACGCTTTTGTTCTTGAGTTGATTACATAGCCCAGATTTAGTTTTCAGATGACCTAGCATTAATAGTCTACAAAGGAATTACCATGTGGGGAAAAGAGGGTATGAGAGACCGAATACCAAGAAGGCTTTCACCGATTACATGCTCAAATCATCTCAGAATTTCAATCTGTGAATTTGAGATTTCTGTATTGGGCTGGCCATGGGGAAGCGTAATTCCATGGGTCTCGTCACTGCTGTTTATTAGAAGATTTACTTAGGTCACTTCTTTGAAAACAAAAATAAAGTAAGTTTTACTGCGTGTGTAATATTTTAAATTAACCCTTATCCTAAATTCTTTGCCAAAAGGAGTTTTGGTATCTGGACAACAGCTTCTTCTAAAACTGATAGCCACATGCTGAAAAATGTTTAATTGAATGGCAGTTTTGGTGACATTTTCCCACAAATGTCTAATTCTGGGCTGTTGGGAACATTTCACCTCTCCTGGGTTTGGATGTGCACCCTGCCCGTGTCCCTGTTCTGCAGCAGTCTGCGGCTCACACAGGCATGCATCACCCACCTCTGCTCTGGTTTCCATGGAGAGGATTTCCACCAAAATCCTCTTATGTTCAGTGTAGTGTTGCCTTACCTTATGCATTTCTTTTCCAACACTTATTAGCTAGATTTTAATTTCAATTATAGTCACATAAGCGTAAAGCAACTCCATTTCATTTCAGTGGAATTATCCTGGATTTACTCTGTGATAGCTTTGATCAGAATCTGATCTCTTTCTTTTTTTTTTTCCTGGACAGACCTGGTTATATATTTCACATACAAAATATATTTCACATACAAAATACTGCTCTGTCTCAATAGAGAAGGTGTAATTCTTCTCTGGCTCCTAGATTCCAGTGTTTTCATAATGTAAAAGCTGTAGAATTGTATCAGTGTGGACCATATTTGATGGAGGAACATTGTTTCCCAAGTCATGAGAACTGAAGGAAGTTGTTTTAAAACAACAACAACTAACAGAGAAAGGAAACAACTGCCAGCATTTTCCACTCTCTTCAGTCCACCTATCTATTGCATTGTGGTACTGCAGAAGAGCTTAATTTTATGAAATTGGTTCTGCTAAAGAGAATGATGCTATCAAAATTGCCGATACTGCAGCCAAGGGTAGCGTCTTGTGGAACAGCTCAGTCACCTGCTTGAATATTACTTGGTTTTGCCAGATTAATTTGTCATCCCTTGCTTCATCTGCTACCTGTGAAATCAATTCCTCAAAGAAATAGTAATCATCTTTTCCACCTGGGTGGATAACGTAGCCTCTGGCTAGCCTTACAGAAGGGCGGTATGCCATCGCCTCCCCTAGTCGCGTAGCTTGACCTGCTGGGAATGCAGAGCATGTGCAGTTTTCCTAAGTGTCGGGATTCGTGCACATCTCTTATGTACCACTTGCGCACACATTAATATGAATCCTTCCCCAGTTTGCACCGCAGAAGTGAGGTGATTAAGAATCACCAGAAAAATCCACCTGGTCCATAGTCAGCTGCTTTAATCCCTTCTGGAAAGACAGTGGGTAGGAGCAGACTGTGGGCCAAATTAACTGTCCTGGTGCGTATTTCGTGGTCTACTTGCAGCTTCCCAAATGTAGGAAGTACTTGCAAGGGATGGGGGAAGAAAGCGGAATAATTGTGCAAGTTGTTCAAGAGGCCTTAGAAGCTAATATGAGCAGTAAAAGGAAAAGATTAAAACAAATGCAAATGTAGAAATGAACCTACGGATTGTTATTCTTGGAGTAGCTATTTATTTTATTTACACAGAAATAACTGGAATTTATGTCTTCAAAATGGCAGAAGTACTTATTAAAGTCAGATACTGTTTCTGACTTTCATTTTGCCTCTTTGCCTGCCTTCAACGGGATGACGCATCAATGGTTTGTGTCAAGTACTGATTATTTGACTTTCTCTGAAGGTTAATTGTTTTCCAATATTTTCATGTTCCACGCATCACTGTTAATGGATGATACCCACTGATGGGGACACCACAGCATATTTGGGGGGTTAGTTATCTTGATTTTTATTTTTACTGTAATATGTTATCTCATCTGTTAGCTATTTTGAGAAATGAAGAGTAACATTTTTGCCATCGCATTTCTTAGCGCATTTTGTCAAAGATTTATTACACAATGAAGTAAGCAGAATGGCAGCCATAAAAAGAAATCACAATTCTATTTCACAGGGCGTAGCTTACAGATTATTTTCAGGTAATCACTGCTTATAATAACTTGGTTAAAAACGTAGAATACCAGGTAGCACATGGCTTTTGACAAAACTCTTAAGAAGGAGCTTTTCAGAGGCCTCATTATGAATGATTGAAGTGAAAACCAATGGCCAGCATAACTTATTTGCTGACATTTGACAAAATGGCCATTATACAAGCAAACCCTTTAGAAGAAAGTAGAAACCTGCTGTAAGGACTGATAGTATTCATTTAGTGCTCACTCTCCCCGATCTGGCTATGTAATGAAGGAAGTCTTCAAGTCCTAACTTAATTTACAAAATTACTGCAGCAAGCGTGTCGTGACATGATAGTGCCCCAAATCATGGCAACATTTGTGCGTGCCTGTTTAGATAGGACCTGAACAGTGTTATAGCCAGGCTGCTGCACTTCCCCAACTTGGATTCTTTCTGAAGTCATAGTAATGTTAAATTAATTGGTTGTAACACCTCACAGTTTCATCTGCGAAGAAAGGAGTGGGTGGGCTGGAGGTTAGTGGGGGCAATGGAGGGAGCACTATCCCTTCCATTTCCATTGCCTGGTTTAATAAATGCCCTTGAGTACAAACGGGTAAGAAATGACAGCTCAAGCCCCCATGGCTGTGCGCCGTGACAAGAAGAAACAGAGAAGCAACGACTCAGGTCACAACACAACTTGCTGGCAAGGATTTTGCTACTGCAGCTGGGCTACATAACAACAGATTTTGTATTTTTTTCCTTCATAATTTGACTTTCCCACCTGCCCCTAAAATAAAACTTGACGACACACAGAAAGCCAGTTAATTACCTCCTCCCCACTGCTGCTCCACTGCTGTTACTGCTGGTGGTGGTTTTGCTCCCATGTTTTCAGAAGATCAGTTGCCAGCTGTGAGATGTGCTGCCAGGCAAACTTGATGTGGGTGGATTCCACTGTGCGGGAACAAATAGCAAAACGTAGCACAAACTTCTCTCGCAGGTGGCACGGGACCAGATGAATCTTCTTGGCCTCGTTTATGCTTTTAAGAAGTGCCTTATTTAGTTCATTTGAGCCCTGAAATCGTTGCAATTCAACAGATATGGCGATGAATTTCAGAAGCAAGTTTGAAATATGTAAATCCCACCAAGCAGCCAAGCCCAAGTACCACCAGTAACACGCAGCCTCTTTCTCACCTCTCAGTGCTCTGCCATCCAAGGATTACACAAAGATGATGGCACAAGAGATAATTTTTCAGCCACAAAGACATTTATGGATTAACTGGGGCTTAGAAGGAGTGTTCACGCTGGGGCATTTGTGATAGGTGACTGCTTTTTTGTGACCTAAGGTCATGAGCTGTGTAGCTTCATGTAAAAGCATTCAATATTGAATCCATTTAATTACACTTTTCTTAGATCTAATCAAACAAATGTGGGAGGAAGTTTTGCAATGAACTATACTAACATCTGTAAAACCAACCTTCCAGTTTTCACTTTAGCGTGGCTGCTGTGAGAGAGTCTTTTGAATACGAAGATGGAAACCTTACCCTTAGTTAAGAAATCGTTAAGGTAATGTGTCCCTGGCATAAGTAAGTTTCATACTATCAGTAGAAACCCTAAAAAAGTATTTGCCTCAAGTTCTATAGGAAGTGTCTGTCACAGAATACTACAGAGTGGGTTTGGGGGGGGGGATTTTAGAAATGTGGTAAACTGACCCTCCCACTAAACAGTCTTCTGCATTCTGGGAAACAAAGATATAAATTTTAAAAACCTTGCAGAAGGTCAGACAGACTCTACATGCATGCAGTATTGAATTTTATCTCCTTTTAGTGTACGTCATTCTTGTGCTCAAATAGTGAATGTGAGGATTTCCCTTAGAGCAGCTGTACGCTCTTAATATCAGCTCTCAAAAGAAATAGGACTGCACAGAGGAGTACTGCTTCTTTTGCAGGTTCAGCTAATGTTGCATCAATGGTTTTCCTAGTTCATGTCCATCAGCATTTGAGAATAAAACAAAAGATGTCATCAGATTTTCAAAAACAGTAATAAAATGCTTTAAATGAAAACAATGAAAGAAGGGATCCCAAAAATCTTGGGATTTTTGTGTGATTTAGCAACACAGGATGAAATGCTAGCTGCCTATCTTTGACAGTCTTTGTTACCCAAATTAAAGGAACCCATCTGTCTCACTTTTATATCAGCAGGCCAAGAGATGGCTTCAGCTTTGCTGGGCAGTTTGCTGTAATAGCTTAGGATATACCTTGTTGGTCTTGAGTGCTGTCATTTTATTCTTTGGGGAACTATCTTGGCTGTTGTACAGCCTCTACTCTTTCTATGACACTGCTGATAACGCAGAACTGCAAGGGATGCTAGGAGCATCTGTGCTTTTACCACAGTGTCCCCTTACTGAACACCAACTGCAGTGAAAGAGTCACAAATGGGCAAATCCGCCTGTTCAGCAGCATTTTTGTTTCTGCAGTGGCATAGGTCTTCTTGAAAACATCCACATCGTAACGCATGTTCTCTCAAATCTGCGCAGTTCTGACTTGCCTGCTTAGCCTTTTCCACAGGAAAACAAAACCATAAGGGAGACACAGTTCCCCATTGGCACTGAGGATAAATGTATTATTCTCACAGTTTGGGATCATATTAGCGCTAGAGCTGAACCCAAGTCAAAGCCTTGTTCTGACTTAGCACAGGTTGTTAGGGAATTTGGATGAGACCCTGAAATGCATGTCTTAGCCTTAGTCTTGTAGGAGGTATTTATGTAACTCGAATGCTCCTAAGAAAGGGCCAACTTTGGTGTTTTTCAAGTCCCCACCCATTATGGGTCAGTCACTGGTGACAATGATATACTGCTTTCATATCAAAGGTAATCCATCATTAAAATGATCATCCTCACCTTTAATATGAAATGCATAGCACTAACTTTTAGGCAATACAGGCAGCTATATGATGCTAAGTTAATGCCCTTGGCAGGGGTGACAGGGGAGAGGAGAAAGATTTATATATCTTTCTTCTGTTCTACTCTCACAGCTTTACCTAGGGGCTGCTGTGACACTCAGGTGTCACACCAAATTGAAGTTATTAGTGCCTAATCCTCTCCTGGAGCTTTGAAAAGCCAGCAGCCAGCTCTGATTGAGTCTGTCAGCTTCAATAAGACAGTATTCTCACTCCCTTGGAGAAATGGCTAGCTTGACTTGTATTCATCTGCAGACAGGACAAGGAGGCCAAAAATTAACCCTTTGGCATGATATATTTGAGGAAATAGTTATACTAGGGAAGTCATAGATTATGACTTTTTTTTGCCTTTCACAGTCCATCTGCTCAACACGGTGAAAGGCAAAAAATTAAAATTTACAGCTAAGCAAAAAAATAAAAAAGGATTTCTCAAGAATAAAGGAAGGAAAAATACTTCATACTTTTACAGCTGTGCAGCAGTACAGTTCAAGCACCCTGTCCCTGAGTCCTACTGTAACTACATGAAAGTTGCAAGTATTCTAAGATGCATTTTAATATGAATTACAGAAATCACAGGAAGATTTTTGAAAGAGTGGTTTAAAAAGCAAATAAAGCTGCAAAAATAACTATAAAAGACTACTTATTTTAAAAGCTTGTTAGTTTTGTTTTCTTTTTTTTGGGTAGGGAAGGCAAGCGATGAAAACTCTGCTGCTTCAACACTGGTTTTCAGCAGAATCACGCCTTTATTCTACAACTTGTCCAGAAGTTTCTTAGCTAGGTGTCCAATAGTTACACCCTATTGTAAAACTGTCTTTCCCTGTAGATCTGGTTTCTTCCTCTGGATCATCAGGGACAGGAGAACAGATGTAGGTGAACCACTGGTCTGATCAGAAGTGACAACTCCTGTGTTGCTATGCTCTATTTCACCAGGACTGTTCCTTTAAAGTAAATGTAGAGCACTGACTAACAGCTGTCTCTAGATCTGCAAAACTAGCGTTTGCTTGTGCCATGTGAGAGAGCAGACTACAGCCAACATCTTGTTGTTGAGCAATAAAAGCCACAGAACCTATTCCTCAAAATCTTTTTAAAAGTTCTCGTTAGGAAAGAAATTATATTCATGTTTTCACTTACTGGAAAAACTCCACTCTGTTATCTGTCTGATCCCCTAGCAACAGATCTTTTTTTTTTTCCTTTATTTTAAACAACATACATTCACACAGATCCTTTTTCCTGTTCCAGATGAATTCACCATTACCTTATCGTTAAAGATTTGTTAGCTCCTTCAGCCAATTACATCAAACTTGGGTAACTTGGGGAACTGAATGACTGAGAGAAGAATTTGTGAAACGTAGTAATACCACACTACCCAGAAGGAGACAAGATGTGCCTGTGAGCCTTCAGAAAAGCTAAAAGCTCATTTAGGTATTACGTGAACTAGAAAACACCAGTGCTGTTCCTATCACTAGGTGTTCAGATTCAGTGTCACAGTTCAGCCCTTTAAAGAGACTTTAGTTGCAAGCTCCTCTATTAAATGAGTTCTTTACCTAAAACAAGACATCGATCCCCTTTTGATGTCTGATTAATCAAGTGAACCCTCCCAGCTACTGCAGCTCTTACGCTCTGAGTGCAGAGTGAGTTTTCTAGTTTCTGTCGGGCATGGCCTCCACGTCAATGAACTTGACACTTAGAGAGATTTTGGGGAATGAAAGGCAAAGAGGGGCAAAAGGGTCACGTTCAGAAAAAAAAAAGCAGACCAGGGCCAAGGGCAGTTGGGAGGCTGGCCTCCTATGCAACCGGTTCTTACTCATATCTTGGTCCAATTTGCCCAGTCTGATTGTAGGATTTCATAAATTAAAATGTATTCTTTAATGAAAACAACAAAAAAGTGTTTACTACTCTAATCTTCATCCATGACAGTAATTATATATATACACATACACAACTGTATACTAAATATACACACATACAAAATTAACTTGACAAGAAACATCTAATACATGCATAAACACTCACACATCATATAGAAATGTCTATGGAAATATATTAAAACAATCATCTTCATCAAAGCCCATCAAGCATAGCATGTAACAGTCATTTTGTATGACTGGATAGGCCACTTGTTTGCCTTGACTATATATATTTCTAGACCCTAATATGCTTGAATTTCTCTTAAGCATTTGATTAATTTTTAACAAAATTGTCTTAAGCTTCTGTCTTTAATCTGCTTTATCTACATGAACTCTCTTTACTTTCCTTAAAAAATAATTAAGTATATTAGCTACAAAGCCTATATTCAACTGCAGGTTATTGTATTACTGTAAAACATGACAGAAGAAATAGAAGGTCTCAGCTGCCTTACCTTCAGCCGAAAACAGACCAGTCCCAAGACAACCTCAGCACAGATCTCAAATCTTTCATCCTGAAGGACTAAATGTTCAAATTGATGCGACAGCCTGACGTGCTGAGAAGAGAAGGATAATATCTACATTGTATAAATTTGAGTCATCAAGAGAAGAGATGTGCTAAGTTGTTTCCATCCCTAAATTCTTTTCTCTCTTCCCTCTTCTGATATGTGATAATATTCACATATGGCCATCTGTTTATGTTAACTTACATCGCATTTATGACTTCCAGAGACCATACTGAGCCATCACTATATCAGTAGCTCAGTCTATCTTAGGCAGTACTAGTCTGTTTCTTAATGAAACATTTCAGCACAGTTTTATAACTGTCATGATGCCATATTAATAGCAAATCATCATAATGATTCTTCTTCAGGTTTTCTACCACTGTCAGTTTGGGCTGGGAACGACTAAAGAGTCCCAAAGTTATTGTGGGGAAAGGGGGAGATGCACAGATGTATGTAGAGAAAAATGATCACCATTCCAGTGCAGAACAAGCTGGAAAGATAACACTTTTTAGAATAGTTCACTTAATATGAGAATAACTATGAAGAAGGGGGGAACTTGCTCACTCTTCTGACCGGGGTGCTCATCTCAGCCAACCTGTTTAGAAGTTACTGGGGAAAAATGAGTGACATCGGACACCAAGCCAGAGCAATTATTTTGAAGCATAGGAAACCAGTGCTCTTCCAAAATCAAACAAATAGGAAAAATACCCACAGGCATACTAACAGCCAGCTGGGAAGCCTTAACATCGGTCAGTGATGCTTGCATACCGATACTGCATTTCACTTTCTCCCAAACAGAAAATGAATTCAAAAGCACTTGGGAAAAAAGAACCCACACCCTCATCAGGTACCTGCTGTACCTTATCCAGTCCCCCTCTCACTGGCTATCATCACTCGCTACCCTTCATTACTTAGAAGACAGCAGCAATCAGCTATTAGAATTACAGTTTGTCTTCATGCAATAGCCAGTCTGCATCAAAAGTTATCAGCAACATCTAAAATGTGTAGAAGTTCCTTAACTTTTATGTATTTAATTTTTATATTTAAGATTGCAAATCATTTTATAAACATAAACAACTAACTCCATGTCTTTTCTTTCCTTTGCACTTTGGCTTTTTGCAAGTTCAAGGACAGATATCAAACAAAAATGAAACATTTCACTTTGGGCCAGAGTTAGATGTGGAATGTTTCATCTCACAAGAACTTTTCCCAAAAGGGCAAGAACAAGGCCAAACAGAAATTACAGAAAAGGAAAAACAAAACAAAAAAAAGAAAACGCATTTTGCAATCTTAATCATAGCCTTCTGATGTTTGTTTATTTCTTAAAATAGAAAAACATTGTTTACATTGAATCAAAACGTTGATTCAAAACCTTCATATTGGGCATACTGGTACCCTATGCAACCAGCCAATCTTACTGTTGTTACCACTTCCTCTCTGCTGTTTGTTACATCCATTTATCATCTCCCTCTAAAATTAGAGTGAAAGCTCTGAGAGTCAGGAACGAGACCAATAAAATGCCCAATCCTTTCCAAGGCATTGGAATGTCCTGCTAATACAAATAACATGAATTTACAGCTATGAAAATTGACCAGTGTGTATGTACACATACGGATACTTGTATGCATAAGTGCATGGAAAACATATGTGAAATAGGCTCGCGTGTTGTAATGGGCTTTTACTGCCTCCTCCTATCCTCATGTTCTATAGCCTTAACCAAGCTGATGTCTTCTACACAGCTCCACAAAATTTCACACCGCATATACTAGGTCTTGGAAATCAAAGCCATAAAAAAAAAAAACATGTTCAATGAGGTGAGAATTTCACAACTGTTCAGCTGAATGTAATCACCAACTGAATTTAATCAAAATTGACCTGGGTAAGAACTGAATAGAACAAAAATTTAAGATTTGGCTTACTGCGAGTAGTTTGTACAAGAAAACTGCAGACCCATGCTGTACATTTCAGAGCAGCTATTTATGTCCACTTTTTGCACTAAAGAATTTTTCAGGAATCTGAGAGAAATAAAAGCAAGGGGAAAAAAAGGAATGTTCAGTAAAACACAAATCAAAATTCTGGAAGAATTTTGTGTTCATGTCTGGATGCAAATCCTTTTATCCATAGGAAGTCTTAACAAGGAGCAATAATTTGTAAAGCCACTGGGGGGCACCAAGTGTTTTAGATTATAGAGAACTGGAAAGGGGGGAAAGCGGAGCTTTAACTGGTTTCACCTGTAATAGCTTTGCTTAACACAGTTTCCCAAGGCCCTGCACCTTTGAGCCATAAGCTATTGTCCTGAATTGCTTTTACAAAGACTGTTGCAACCAAATGTAATTAAACCAAATAAAGTTAAACATTATTAAGCCTGGAAGTTCAAACTCTTTAAAACCGAAGGGCTTTTAGGTATCACACCTGCCTCTCTCAGCAAGTCTGCTCTGGATGTGGCCATGGCCATAACTCATAGGGTGACACGTGTGGCTTTCGTGCTTCGACTTTTTGGAGAACCACAGGCACTGGAACTAAGGACAGGAAAGAAGGTGAGGTAAGAACTGACAGGCTGTTCTCAGTTTTCTGCTGGATGTGTACATACCAAGCCTGACCGATGGCTATTTTAACCCTCCAAATGTTTTTGACTTTGACATTTGTGTCATGTTGTGTACCTAGCATCATTAACGTAAAGTTGACGTTCAAATATTATTTAACCTTTAAAAAATATTCTATTTAATGCTGTTATATAATTTAACAGAAAAGTGGACATACACAAACCAACTCACATGCCGTTTCTAGCAATATCATTTGGACAACCCCTTTATCATGTGGGTGCCCAAAGTGGAATTACATGGACTGTGTTAGTGACCTGAGAAGTCTTGGTATATAGGGATAGAATACCAGTCCTTTCTTCACAGTGAAATTTAGTAGACTGAAGAAAAGAAGCTTGTAAGGAATTTTGGTGTATCACTGTCTATCTCAGGTAAATACTTATTGCTCTTCTGCAGTGAGAAGGGAAAAAAGAAAGGGATCTGATTCATTTGGTTATTCAGGATTCAGGGAAATGTCTTACATAATCACTAATGGGAGCAGTAAACTTCTGAGGCATTAAGCTGTGGTCCCTATTTAAAAAAAATCTGTATTTGTATATGTGTGAATATAAGTATAAATAAATACAAATAAATAAAAAAATAAAGGCTCCTGCATTGAGGAGTTTAAACTGAATTTTGATTTTTGGACAAAGCCTTCAAAAAAAAAAAGTTTTTGACTGAAGAGAGTGTCTCTGAAGCATCAGAGTACATTAATGTGTATATGCAAATAAGCACACCTGCCTAGCCTTGATCACTCCATACTTTTCCTCCTATAGATTTCACCTCTCTACCTGTCTTAGCTCGCATCCCACTACACTCTGAAGGAAAATTCTGTCAAAAGAGTCTTGGCTTGTGCCACTCCCCAGTTGAAATGCTGTTCTGTACAGTTCCAGTTTCTTGGTCTCTGCTGTTAATTTTTAATGGAATCCATTATCCTCGGTGAAGAAAGCAGGATGTAGTACACTGATTTCTTCTGGTCCTATGGATGATTCATCTAAGTCCAAATAGTCACGGGGATCAAAATACAAAAATATTAACTGCTAAATTTCTCAAATTACTTCTGAGGTCTTTGAGAGGACTTAAACTGACAAAGGAGCAATATACAGTCAAGCAGTTTGCAAATGGGCCGTTTGGGTTTCACATTTGCACTGACTCTGAGTGCTTGGAATCAGTCCAAAAGACTGTTATTGTTGTTGGTTTTGTCCTCTTTCTACATCTCCTCTGCGGCTTTGGGACTTACCTCCAAAATTTGTATTTTTCTCTCCCCACATCCGTCAGAGATGACTGTCCTCCTCTTTACCACTGCTTTAAAACCTATAGTTTGCAATAGGTTAACATTATATGTTGTGTGGGAAAGGAGTGCGTAACTGGAAGGTTTGGAAAACAAAAGTTATTGTATCTAAATCCAAGTCACACATTCTCATTTCCCAGGAATATTTTAGTTCCTAAGTGCCTTCTGGTTCCTACATTCCAGGTTGCAGTGGTTATCTAGTCATTTTGATGCAGACCTTAAGGCTTCAAATGTAACAAATATATATTTTTCTTAAAAGATACTAATAAGAGAAAAAAAAAAAAGAAAAAAAGAGACAAATAGGGGGTTTTGTGGCAGTTTACATCCAGAAAAAAAGAAAAGGTTGTGAAGAGATAGTTGCAGATATCTTTGGTCTTCCATACAGAAGCTTGCCAGTCACACAGCTAGTAGGGTGGCTCCTTAAGGTTAGGCAGTGGTTTTTCCCTCTGTGTTATGTCAAAAGCTCGCCACTGTTGAAAATCTCAAATCACTTTGTAAGTAACACCTGGCTGTGCAGAAGAAGCCTGACTAGAAGGCTATAAACACTGGATAAATCTTCCTACAGTTTTCTATGACTTAGGAGCTGAAGTGTATTTTTTTTCCCCAGGTGATCACAGCATCTATATTGGGATTTGTATAAACTCAGAAAGGAACTGTAACCCTGGGTGCCAAATCCCTCAAAAAGGCCCAGCCCTGCCTCTGAACAGGCATGCCTGCTATTGTATAGCACGACCAGGAATGGCATGCCCTACACACAGGTATGCCGGCCTACAAAAACTTTGTGGTGTGCGGCTTCATGCTACATCCCAAACACCAGCATCCCCTTCCCCAGGTTCCAGCCCAGGGAGCTGTTTCAAACCTCTGCTCTTCTGCCTGTCTCCCCGTGCCTGGCCCTTTCCCTGGGGCAAATCCGTAATAACACAGCAGAGAGGGAGACAACTTCTTCCCGCTTCCCCAGCTCCAGCCACTCCACTCTCCCCTTGAAGGCTCCAATACCTGCGCTTCTGCCACTGCTCCTGGGTCTCTTTTCATTCCACCTATGTCCACTCTGTGACCCACTGTAATAAACGCAGCTTCAGAAATAATTCTGGCGACTACAGGGCTTCACTTAAAAGCACAGCTAGAAGTCCCAAGCACACAAGATACTCAGCTATTCTCTTCAGGGACTGCCTTTGCTAGCAGTGGGAATACAAAAGCTGTTACTTGCAAGACGCTACAACATGGTGAAAAGAAAGCAACTTTTCAAGGCCAAGCAGTGGAACAAGCAATGCTAAAGTGAAGTTAAGTTCCAAATTACTTTTTGTTCAGCAACTTGTCTATAGGTTTGAAAATATAAACCAGTGTCAGGCTGCTTTACGTACTTCATTACTATGCTACCAAAAGAAAACTCATCACAATAAATCTGGAATCAAGGATAATTCCTGAGAAGAGAGGAAAAAGGGGCAAGATATGAAACCCATTTAAAAATGTTATTTTGCAGCTCCTGATATAACTTTACCAACACATCTGCAAACTCGCAAGAGTTATCTTAAATACTGCTAGAGGAGGGAGCAAATGAAATGCATTTCTTGAAATGTAAGTAAGTTCAACAGAGAACTGCTGGAGATAGAATTGACTTATTTTTAAAGCTGCTTTGGAACGCACTGAATTTAATCATTACTCATCTTGGGGGGGGGGGGGGGGGACTTAGTGGTTCCAGTTTGACAGATGTATATGGTGACCCAAATTCTGCACTTAATTACCCCTCTTGCCCTTTCAAAGTTGCAAACATAAGGTCACCAGGGAACACTTTAGTCCTTAATAAAATATTAAACACACACACTCAATTCAACAAGCCCTTGGAAACCTAGCTGTCTGAATTACCTTTACAAATAAGGGAACATTAATTAAGAGTTTTACTTTGGAGTCAGCATCTTTAAGAAAAGACTGATTTGCTTAGCCTTCTTGAACTGTGTTATCACAGAAAGTATAAAAAAAAATTATCTTCAGCTATGATTATGGGAAGACGAGCGCTTTTTGGCTGGACAGTCAGGGAAATGTCTGGGAGATGGGGAAAGAGGGAACTTGTTGAATGTAAATACTGACCTGTGGAATTCAGCCTGATAAAAGGCCGTGTAATTAATACGGGGTTTCCAACCCTCTATTTTCCCAGTGAGAGATTTAGCCCTACTTAAAAACTTGGCATCATATTAAAATAGTTGCAGTTTCCAGAAATCTAACGTAAGAGAGAAACCCACTGGAAACTGTAATGGTGGCCTAGTAAAGTGATAACCAACCTTGTATCAGTTTTTCGTCAGGTAGGGTATGTATCAGATTGTCACAAGGATGACAGAACATCAGGATTGCCACGGTTGTCAAAATTTATTTCTGAAAGCCTCATCCAAAGAGACCTGGACAAGCTGGAGAGGAGGGGCTGTGTGAACCTCATGAGGTTCAACAAGGCCAAGTGCAAGGTCATGCACCTGGGTCGGGATAACCCCCAGTATCAATACAGGCCGGGGGAAGAAAGGATCGAGAGCAGCCCTGCCGAGAGGGACTTGGGGGTGCTGGTGGATGAAAAGCTGGACAT